GGGAGGGAGGAAAGGCGGTGACAACCGCGAGGGAGGGCGCGGTGACGGAAGCCGCGCAGGGCCAGTTCCGGCCGCCGCCCGCGCAGGCGTACTGCGTCCGGAGCGGCGGCGCGGAGCTGAGTCCACGACGGGCCGGCGTTCGACCCGTGCGGCTCCCCGGGCGGCGGAGACGCTGGCCTGGTGCCATCGGTGGCGCTAACGCCTGACGCATTGGCTCCTGCTTCACGGAGCCGTCGAGATCCGGAGACCTTTATAATGCGAACCGCACGTGGAACTGCTTGTTCTGACCTCTCCCCAAACCCTCGTTTTCAGGATCCAGCCCAGTTTTCCTGCAGGCAGGTAGCTCCAGGGGCCTCTGTCCGGTCCCCACCCCATCCTCCTTGTCCTCAGGCCCACCCCTTGTTACTCCCAGGGTGCCGGCCAGCTGGACCCGACCCCTGCAGCACCGGTTCCTGCCGGTGAAGATGAACCCCCAGGCTGTTAGTTTTAAGGGTTTTGCTTTTGATTCCTCTGATCATAGCAGGTCACGCTTGCATAGCATGCACTGTGTCCCAGGTTGGCGTCAAGAGCTTTCACCTGCATCATCTCACTCAATCTTTGTAGCAACGCTACACTGGGTCCCACCACTACCCTCAATTCGCAAAGCGGGAAACTGAGGCCCAGAGCTATGAGCTAAATTGCTGAAGGTTACAGAGAAAGCCAATCGCGTGATTCTGGACTTTTATCCTTAAAATATTAGCACACAATCAAAGCAAAATAAAGATTGCCGATTTTCATAGCTATTGAGTAGAATGTAAAATGTGTTGGAAAATACATCTTGCCCAGCTGGTGTGGCCCAGTGGTTGAGTGTCGACCTTTGAATCAGGAGGTCGTGCTTTGATTCCTGGTCAGGGCACATGCCGGTTCCAAGTTGAATCCCCAGTGGGGGGGCTTGCGGGAGGCAGCTGATCAGTGATTCTTTCTCATCATTGATGTTTCTATCGCTTTCTCCCTCCCTTCCTCTCTGAGGTCAATAAAAACCTATTGAAAAAGAAAATGCATCTTGGTGAAGTGGGTAGCATCCTATATAATAAAAGCCTAATATGCTAATTGTCCGGTCCTCTGGTGACCGGTCGACTGTGCAACCAATCAAAGCGTAATATGCTAATTATATGCTAAGGCCGCTCAATGGCTCTATGACATGCACTGATCACTAGGGGCCAGGCAGGCAGTCGACTGGTCAACCAGTTGCTATGATGTGCACTGACCACCAGGGGGCAGATGCTCCGACCAATAGGTTAGCTTGCTGCTGTGGTCTGGCCAATCAGGACTGAGCAAGATGGGTTGGACATGCCCTGGAGCTCTCCCTTAGTCCCTCCCCAGACCTATCATGCATCGGTGGGGTCCCTCCGCCTGGCCTGCACCCTCTTGCAATCCGGGACCCCTTGAGGGTTGTCAGAGGGCCGGTTTCAGCCTGATCCCACAGGCCACTCCCCTCAGGTGGGCGCCAGACACAGGGCTCACAGCTGGTGAGCACTGCTGTGGCAGCGCAAGCCTCTCCCGATCAGGACTAATTGGGCGCGAACCCTCAGCAGGCACAGTGGGGCCCCGGATGAGCAGGAGCAGCAGGTAGGAGCTGCAGGCAGCATTGGACTGAAGGTTTCATTGGACTGCAGGTTTTGGCCCGATCCCTGCAGGCCACCCAGAGGGTCCCCACCTGTGCATGAATTAATGCACTGGGCCTCTAGTAGCTTTATAAAATTCATTCTTCTGTGGGTGATGTCATTGCCAGAACAGGAAGAGTTGAAGATCCATTTAATCCTAATTCTAGTTTTTATAGCCGTATGCTGTCAGAAACCCTGTTCATATAAACAAGTACTGTACCTATGGACAGAGTTTTATTGTAGCAATGTCAATTCTTCATATTAAAGAATTAGATTTGATGATCTGTGAGCTGACTATTCAATTAGGACCTCCAATTTTGTTGAAAGCAAAGAATTGAAAACCACCTCACTTGTCAAAGGGCTTGTTTACCTGGTGCTTTTTTCTTTTTCTTAATCTTTCAGTTTTGGGGAAATATACCAAATAGGTTTTACGAAGGCATCAAATGACTTTGAAGTTGACCTCCCCCCACTCCACCATGAGATGTACCATGTTTACCTGATATATTCAAACTTTGGGGAAAATGTAAACATTTTTCATTTTCATGAAGTTTTTGGATAAAATGCCTTTTGGTGTTGTTGTTAGGTGGTTCAACTTTGTTTTTGCCCAAACTTTGCAGCTAATGATACAGCTCATTCAAGGTGAAACTGTCAAGTATGAAAAATGCTTGTCTTATAACCTAATTAACATCAAACTAGCCAAATTGCATTTACTTTCCCTCAGAAACAGTTTGGCTTAATTGCATCAATTCCCATAAAGTGTCATGCATTTTGAGGAGTATAATGAAGGCTGCAGTGAGAGTCATGAAATGAATCTTAAAAGATTTATTAGTAAAAGCAAGATTAAAGTGGTGGGAGATATAATTATTCTATCCATTTTAAAAATTAGTTATGAAAACAAGATGGGAATATGACATATTTTCTCCTTTACCTAATTACCAACAATATATTTAGCAATATAACATGTCGCTAAATGTGTATGTTATTAAGTGCGTAGTATGATAAAAGGTGAACATGGTGGATGGTGCTCGCCGGCAGGCTAAATAGCCATTTCAGATGGTAATTAAAGAAAATTGATTTTTTTTGGGGGGGTGGGGAGGGTAAGAGATCAACCAAAGAACTTGTATGCATATAAACATAACCAATGGACATAGACGATAGGGTGGTAAAGGCCTGGGTTGGGGGGTGGGGGCGGGCTGGGAGAGGTCAATGGGGGAAAAAGGGAACATATGTAATACTTTCAACATAAAGAATTTGTTAAAAAGAGAACATTGATTTTGTTGGGAGCCATTATAAATCACATATACATCTCCAGCTTACAACAAGAGGTTTCTGGCTCCTCCAAGCCAACTCCCGATTTGGCCTGGAGTTAAAAGTTAACCTTGCGATTTAGCCTGGAGTTAAATAACATACCCTCACCCTAAGCACAAAGCAAGCTACATCTCCGCTGATAAGCTGCGACATTCCAAAGCCTGTTTCATCCTTAACGACTTCCTTTGCCCGCCCCCTCCTCTAGAAGCAGTATAAATACCACTCGCTGTAAAGAATAAAACTGAGGCTTGATCAGAACTTTGTCTTGCCTCCATTTCTTCGCGTCTCCTATCCTCTCATTCCTTTGCAGGATTTGGTGCGGTGTACCCACGAAGCGTGCCCTGCAGGTCGGGGCAGATTTTATTCTGGGAAAGAGGAAGAGGGATGGGATATCCAAAGGGAAGGGCCACACAGACCCCAGCCAAGGGGACATTGTGTTGATGATGGCAGCACCCAGTGGCTGAAGTTTCATTCTTATATGCAGTTATTGGCAGGAAACTTTGTCATCAGTGGGTCTGGGGACTGAGCTGGTGGGCTTGGAATGTGGACGGAATCCAGTAGGTGTGTGATCAGGTGTCTTCAGGACAGTTTCAATTCCTTACATGTTCTGATGCCTGGTGTCCGGTGTTAATGTAAGAAACATTCAAACCTGTAAAGACTTTTTGGTCAAGCCAGCGTGGTTCAGTGGTTGAGCCTTGATCTATGAATCAGGAGGTCATGGTTCCATTCCCTGTTAGGGCACATGCGTGGGCTGCTGGCTAGATCCCCAGTGTTGGGTGTGCAGGAGCCGCTGATCGATAATTCTCTCTCATCATTGATGTTTCTATTTCTCCCTCTCCCTTCCTCTGTAAAATCAGTAAAAATATATCTTTAAAAACAAGAATTTTTGTGAGTTTATTTGAGCTCAACTGACAATTACCAAGAAGCAGAATCTCAACGTATTGAGATAATGCTCTGGAGAATGGCGGGTTTTTACCTATTTTTGTAAATTACCATCAAAGCAGGAGATGTAAGTAGGTTCCATGGAACCCATTGGTGATAGATTAGGGAGGTGGGAGAAAGCAAAGCAGGGAAACCTCTGGGGATGGGGAAAAGGAAGAATGATAGACTCATGCTTCTTTTACATAGGTGGGTACAGGATAGTTAACAGTCAACAATGAGGGACTTTGTGGTCTCCACCCTGGTGCCCTAAGGCATTGGTATGGAAAAAGAGAAGTTACAGTTACCTTGACATTGTAAAGACTTGTTATCATAGATACAAAAACACAGTAGGCTCAGTTAAGATCAAAGTTGATCTTTGTCTGATATTGATCAACTTACAGTGGTGGTTAAAAAGTGAGTTTTGCAGTAAAGAGCATTTGTGTTGTTTCCCAAATTCAGAACTTGCAACAAGGAGTGAAGAGAGAAGAAAATGCACTTTTATTTCTGTAGTCCCATTTCCTGCTATTAGGCAGCTGTGCGGGTGCCTGTGCCATCGTGCTGGTCCTAGGCGGGTGTGCCTAAGAAGGGAAGCCCAGTGGGCTTGGGCGCCCGTCTCAGGGAGACACCATGCTACTTGGAAAGACAAAACATGCTTGCTAAGCACACATTCTGCATAGAAGATAAAATAAGAGTGGCTGGGTCACGTAGAAAATGAATGTGTCCGTGTGTGGAAGGGCACTGGGGTGGGCTGAGTTAGTCACTGAGGCACTACGCAGGAAGGCGGCCTTCACCCTACCTTTGAAAGAGATGACGGATGCTGGATGGGCAGAGGGAAAGGAAGGCATGAGCAAGTTGTTAAGTAGCTTAATATTCAAGGCTAGTCATAGAAGAGATAGATGCATACAATTAGGGGCATATTCACTCCTGAAGTGGGCATTTTTCTTCATTTTGATTTACATAGAGCAGCAGATAGCCCTTTGACTAATGAATGTCAGAGGAACTAATTTAAATTTAAGTCTAAAGCAAAGGCAGATTTATTTCCATTTCCTAGATTAGATGTGTAATGCATAAAAGGGGAGGTGGAGCCACAACGCGGTCTGCATTTCAGCTTTGCTGTTTTCCAGCTTGATGACTGTGGGCAAATTGCTCCACCCGTCTGCACCTTGTTTTCTCATTTGTGAAATAGAATAAGAGATCTACCAGATAGGGTTTTGGGGAGGATTGATTGAGATCATTTATTCATTCCACGAATATGTTTTAGGCTTCTCATATGCACCCACAACAAGTGGGGGAGAGAGCAGGTGAGCAAGGCAGGCAAGCCCTTGTCCTTCCAGTGCCTCCATTCTAGTGGAGCTAGCGGCCAACAAACAAATGCACAAATAACGTATAAGGCAGCGATATGTGCTCTGCAGAAGGTTAAGTAGGGTGACAGGATGGAGGGCGACTGGGTAGCAACTTGGATGTTAG